TCTAGGACTATTTGGTGCCACACTTTGTCTACATCAAACAAGGTCTCTTTTCCTTCGTCTCTGGAATTCGACACTTTTGTTCAAGATTGTGATGAGGCCAGGAGCTGAGTAGCCTTATCAGAACTCAACTGACTGTCGGTGAGAACGTTATTGCTAAGCGAGTACCATGTGATAACACTTACAGTGACCCATTGCATTACTATAATGACTGAGCGTAGGCTAATAGAGCAGTAACGGGCTGAGTTGCATTTGCCTGTTTTTCGTCGGCAGCATATAGCTGGGCAATTTCCTACATTATTGTAGTTGTTGTGAAACACCTTAGCTGGGGGCATAGCTAATTGTAGAGCACGTCTTCAGCATATTGTCAGGATGTTGTCAGGGCCTTTAGCCTTTGCAGCATCCAGTGCATTAAGCTGTTTCTTGACATCTTGCGAATCAAATTGGATGAAGACTGACATCTGTGAAACAGGGGACCTTCTCAGGAGATCAAAATGGATCATCCACTCATCACTTCTGGCTGAAGATGATTGCAAATGCTTTACCCTTGTATTTTGCATTGATAAGCTGGGTTCCGTCATCATTGAAGATGGGGATATTTGTGGAACCACCTCTTGGTTGTTTAATTGTTCAGTACCACGAATGGCTGGACGTCAGAGTCTGCAGAGTTTAAATATCATCCATAGGTGAGTGATCCACAACCAATGTCTATTGCTTGTTAGTTTGATTGTTTGGCAAGCATGTAATCTTGTGTTGTAGCTACATCAGGTTGACACCTCATTTTTAGGTATATTCAGTGCTTTTCTGGCATTCCTTCCAGCACCCTTCACTGAACTGGCGTTGATCCCCTGACTTGATGCTATTTTAGAGTGGGGGATACGGCGGTTCATGAAATAACTTGTGGTTGAATACAGTTCTGCTATAGATTGCCCATAGAACCAATTTTTCAGCTGCTAGATCTCATCGAAGTCCATCTAGCACAGTGTTAATGGCATATAACATGATGCAGTGTATCCTCAATACAAAAATAAGACATTGTCTCCACAGGACTGTGCAGTAGCCACTCCTACCAGTAATGTCTTGGATAGATATATTTGCAACAGGTTCGTTAGTGAGGATGCGGCCAAGTAAGGTTTCTTCCTTTTGTTTGTTCTCTCATCACTTGTTGTGGATGTAGTCCAGCTGTTGAGTGGTTTAACTCAATGAGTAGTGGTGATACTGAGCTCCACCCAAAGTGCATTCTCTATCCTTGCAACCCTCAATACCTGTCCCAATTAGTGTTCAACGCAGAAAAATATTTTTTTATCAGCTAAGGTATAGTTGAGAGGAATGGTAGGTGGAAATCAGAAAGAGATTTCCTTGCCAATATTTGACCAAATTTCAAAGGTTAAATCTTACAAAGACCGATGACTGCCATTCACCACCCTTTAAGTCAGAGGGTATGAATTAAAATATTCAGTTGTTCAAATGAATTCTTGAAAGATTTTTTGACAGAGTATGAAAATTAATGTAGTGCAGTGTGTTTTGATGAACTTATTGTTCAGTCATTTTTATTTAAAATTAGATTTAGTTGTCATAAAATTGCGCACACAAAATTTATGTGCAAATAAATTGAAATTCCAGACAAACAGAATTGTTGGACTTCGTTTAATTAGGCAATTCAAAATTGTTACATAATAATCAGTGGGCCTGAAAATAGAAGCAGTACCTGAACCCATGGTTTCTTGCCTGATTCTCCCACCCTATTCCATCTAATCTCTTCACGTATCCTTCCATTCACTTCTCTCTCATGTCCCCATATAGCTTCTCCTTAAATGCTTCTATGCAATTAGCCTCAAACACTGGACCCAAAGCATTAACTGCTTTCTCTCCACAGATGATGCCAGACTTGCTAAGTTTCTCCAGCAATGTCTGTTTTTGTTCCGCATTCTTATCATTTTGTGACTAAAGACATTTCTTCTCTGTTCCTAATTCAATTTATTAATGTCAGTCTTGTATTTCTGATCCCTAGTTTTGGATTTGCTTTCAATCTTTCTTTAATGATAGCAATTAATATTCACTCATGTTTCGTTGTGAGGTAAGGAACCTCAGAAAATGACAACACTTAGCTGTGCTTTGTACTTGAATGAATTTACCACCTACTCCACCAGCAAAATTTAAGCAAAGTTTGAATAGTGTCTTATCATATTGATTGTGGCAGCCATTTTATTCCCATCAAAGTCCCACAAGTGACAGTTACAAAATGGATAGTCACTCTGTTTCTGATTATTTTGGCTAAGAATACAATTAAAAAGTTAATGGACATTGACATTTTGGGAAGGTATTGTAAAACTTAACAATCCATAAAAACCCAAGTGGCTCGTGAAAATTTGCATGTACAATGGAACAAACCAAAATCATACCAGAACATTGTTCTTCTTCTTGTACTGAGTTGCTAATTTTCTGTGTTTTAATAACAGAATTTTTCTTTGGCACAATTTCCTTTACTCCTCAACCAAACTTTGAATAAGAGGATAACTAACTGACAAATAAAAGTAGAAAACATTTAGAGCAACCTTGCATTTTGAGATTCCACTGGTTGCGGGTCCATACATTATTGAGTGGGCCTCAACACTCCAAATGTCCTCAATAAAACCCTCCAGGTGACTAGATTCTAAATTGCTTCTTAAAATCTGCTTCTTTGTAAGCTTCTGATCACTTCAAGATTTTGATTTCTTGTCAGCCTGAACTTCTTCTCATGCCTCCACTTTGGTGGAATAATCCACTTTGGAGTGCTTGGTGGAATAATCTGTTATTTTTGTACTCTGCATTTCCAGATGAAGAAAGTGAGATCTACATGTTTATTTGCCAGCTTTATTTCATCATATTTTTTAAGCCTGGTGTTCAGTGGGAAATACATACAAATCATGCAGAACTGTCAGCATGTCCATTGTTAGATGTTGCTGACTTGTTGGACTGTATAACTGTGACCTCTGATGAAGCTTTGTAAACCTAGAAATGTCACTTCATCCTACAGAGCGCATGACGTAGTGTAGGACCAGGAAAAAAGAATGCAGCTGATGTACAAAAGTTAACCATAGAGAATAATTGATTCCTATTGTTCTTATTGAAAACATAGCCATGCAAACTGATTCTGACAGGCGAATAGTAATTACCTATTACAGCATCATGTAGTTTTTATTGCTGTATGTCTGGACGGTCACTAGAGCTCTGCAATCTGATTGCCTTAGTTTTAGAGGTGGGTTGGTTTATTTCACTGTATTTGAATGATATTTTCATGAGAAAATTCTTTGAAAGTGTCTTTTTCTTTCTAATACATGTGAGACATCGCCAGTTTGCTTTTTCAGATGTTTGTTTTTTCATACTATGGGCGATCAGGACAGTTCTACAATCAAAAATTTCAAATAGAAAACATGATTTTAAGGCAATCTCATACTTCCAATTTCTACTAGTTGTGGTTTCATGCATTCTTCGGGGGGAATGAATGTGCCATAGATTCCAGAATTCCCTAAATACACCCCGCCAGATGACTCGATTTTAATCACTTCTTAAAATCTACTTCTTTGTAAGCTTCCGATCATCTCTCTTGGTTCTTTCCTTGACTTGCATGTATTATTGTTACTTGATAATGTTTTTCCATTTCGAACCACTACAGCTGACCCATACCTGCCTCTTTCAAAATGACTAAACCTGTTTTTGTCTCTGACTAAATATGAACTTTCTTCAAAATAAACTATTCTGTTTTCTAATGTGTTTCTGAGACACTAGAAAGAATTTCTAGAACATTATTCCACGTCTGCAGCAAGTGGGCATTGTGATGTTCTAAAGCTCGATAAACAGATAAATGCAGGCTAAATTAGTTTTATTAGGGGACTTTCCAAATGATTCACCGAGATGCAGACTGTTCCTCTATTTATCCCTGTGTTTTTGGTTGCTTAATGTTGTAGTCTGCTTGACTTTGTATCCAGTTTATTTCTTCCTTTTTCCTCTACTAAATTTCCTTGCTGTTTTTTCTACCATTGCTCCTTTTCCTTCTGTGCTTTTGTCTGTTTGTCCCATTTCCTCATCATATTGCAAACTGTAGATATTGAAGTTTTTCTTTTCAACCGGTATCAGTTGTTCTGCTGGATCCGGTAATGGTCAAGTGGTACTCTTCACTATGAAGAAAAGCTCAGCAGCAACATATGTGATGAAATGAACGAGACTCGGGAGTTGAAGCTCAGGCAGTGAAAAAGGTGCATCAAGTGCTGTAGACATACTGGTTCTATGTATTAGCACAGCAGTACTGTGAAAGGGCATCCTCAGACAGATAGCTGAAACATTAATTTCGGGGAATAATAAAAGCAACCTTTCACCTGAGAAATATTTGCATGCCCCTGTTTGGTTTTGCATTTCACATTTACACTGTAGTTCTTACGTAAGATATTGTTGATTCATCAGAGAGGCTGCAATTTTGTAATTGTAGGTGGAGCAAAGGTGTAGGAAAAGAAATTTAATTTTATAGCTCATTTGAAGCAGTTTGATTCTCATTGTAAATCTTAAATATCCCTGTAATTTTTGTGTGTGTTACTTACCAGCTTTGTATTTGTAATGTCGTTGTTGTTAAATGAAAACTGAATCCTCTTTATTGTTTGATAAAGGACTGACGTATCAGTTGTACAAAATACAACTAAAAATGACGTATCAACTAAGATTTCCGTACAATAATTTGAACATTTTTGAGAAAATGGATATCTCCTTTCTTAATGAGCTTCTGTTTTTTCTTTGTAGTGTTAGTTTAGTGTAGCTTGAAGATTTTTGCAATTTGCCAAATAAAGAAGTTGATAAGCTTGCAATAAATATATCATTGTTATTTCAAAAAGGCAAATAGTGTGGGCTTCACAAGAATGTTGGTTGAAAGAAACTGGAACATGTACAGTAAATGGAAATGTAGATTTTTCTGTAAATTTGCTTATAAATTTATAGTTATTGAGTTTGTTCTAATCCATCTGATTATGTTTCAGGATTCGGTGAAGGAATCTGATCAGAAATTACGGTTTGGTGGGCCTGTAGTCAGCAGCCTTTATCAAGAGGAGATGATCAGGTGAGCTGATTAAACAGTGTCACACTTGACCATGTTCACACATTCTTTTGTGGGAGAAGATTGTCATTGACTTGTCCGTAGTTAATTACATAAACTGATGTGTAATTTTATATATATAAACAACAACAAAAGCTTGCACTCATGTAGCACATTTTATCATTAAGGTGCTTCACAGAGTTCTAATAGTACTGCTGAATATTTAGTCAGACATGCATTTGTTTCACTAGATTATGCAATTGTATTCTGCAAATATTCTGAGTTGAATTTGTTTCTCGCGCTAACCGGCTTAATTCTTGAATAAGCAGCTTATTCCTTGAAATGCCTGTATTTTGTAATTTTATAATAGTATTTAGTGCAGCCTATGCTGCTTTTGTGCGGTGCCCCAAATTTAGCGTCGTGCATTTAATTAGTAAGCTACATCTTAGTAACTGTAAAATTCGCAGTAGTGTATAATGAATCCTTAGAAGAATATTCCCCACTATTCCTATTTGTCATAAGGCAGGAAATGTGAGTGGGTCTCTCAGAGATTACCTGGAGTCCACTTTGGAAGTAGTGCTGGCTTACTCAGCTTCATGAAAGCGTAAGTGATTAAAGGCTGTTGAATTTCTTCCATTGCTCATTCTTCTGACCTTTGTGACCTGCTGTGCTGTGACATCATGTTTGATGTTGAGTTGGAGATAAAATCAATGACAGGAAGAAAAAATAAAGTCAATTCAACATCACTTTGGTGTAATTCTAAAGCCCATATCATTTGAAACTAGATAGACTTTTTAACTACGTGTCATTCCTTTGGGCATGCATGCCTTGATAAGTCTTACTAATTTACGTGATTAAAAACAATGAGGTCATGCAGTGTTTATCCTTCAGTGATTTGCTGATTCCCTCTCTCCACATTTTTCCATGAAACTTTCCTGATCCATGAAACTTTCCTGATTGATCTCTCAATATTTTCTCTCAATGAAACTTCATATCAATGCTAGTGAAATTTAATGTCAAAACGAATAACTCCATTCTGAAATGAAACCAAGAATGTGCTAAACTCATTGTAAAGGTTAATAAGGAAAATCATGACTCCTTTTCAGGGATTTCTTGGTGATGATATTTTTGATATGATCTGGATATAGGATTTTCAAAATTAAATTTCTTGCTATCTTTTACTCCTCAAAATGCTAGGATTGACTTTGCCCTAGGTATATGGAAATTTATGGGTGGAATGTTGTTTTTTTTTTGCAATATTTTGCACAACATTCCAGTGGTCTTGACTAGCTGTTAAGACTTCTGACTACCTTTAATGCCATCTTCAGGGCAAGAGAAACATTCTTAAAGTTTTTGAGGACTTGTGATTTGAAGGAATGTGGAAAAATAGATGTGTTTCAAGTTCTTCAGGGATACCTGTATATTCTTTTGAAAGATCGGCAGAAGGATATATTAGTTTAATAAAGGTGCTTCTGAGAAATCAAAGTTTCAGCTAATTGCTGGACTTGTTTGCTGGGGTAACCTGACTTTGGATTGTTGGCTGTTCTGTATAAGCCGTGTGTTGCAGGCAGTGGTGATTGATTGAGATAACAAGGTGTACAGCTGGATGAACACAGCAGGCCAAGCAGCATCAGAGGAGCAGGAAGGCTGACGTTTCGGGCCTAGACCCTCCTTCAGAAATGGGGGAGGGGAAGGGGATTCTGAAATAAATAGGGAGAGAGGGGGAGGCGGAAAGAAGATGGATAAAGGAGAAGATAGGTGGAGAGGAGACAGACGGGTCAAAGAAGCTGGGGTGGAGCCAGTAAAGGTGAGTATAGGTGGGGAGTTGGGAAGGGATAGGTCAGTCCAGGGAGGACGGACGGGTCAAGGGGGGGGGATGAGGCTAGTAGGTAGGAGATGGGGGTGGGGCTTGAGGTGGGAGGAAGGACAAGTTAGGGAGGTGGGGACAAGCTGGGCTGGTTTTGGGATGCGGTAGGGGGTGGGGAGATTTTGAAGCTTGTGAAGTCCACATTGATACCATTGGGCTGCAGCGTTCCCAAGCGGACTATGAGGTGCTGTTCCTGCAACTTTTGGGTGGCATCGTTGTGGCACTGCAGGAGGCCCAGGATGGACATGTCGTCTAAGGAATGGGAGGGGGAGTTGAAATGGTTCGCGACTGGGAGGTGCAGTTGTTTCGTGCGAACCAAGCGTAGATTGTTTTTATTTTCAGTTGGAGAATGTCTGCTGAGGAATAGCCTGCTTAGCTAATCATTCTGTCTTTATAAAGCAATTTATTTGTAAATCCAGTGTGAAATGTGATTGTCCTTTTTAAAATGACAGGAAAACTTCTCGTTAACTGTGTTTCCTGAGTAGGTACATGTATGAAGACTCCAGAGATAACTGCACATGACTATAATGACTTGTCCACATGTGCCACATCAACAATCATCTGAACATTCTACACATTTTATTGTTTCTTTCAAGAACTGAACATTATTTGTTAAAAGTGGCTATTCCCAAAGTGATCTCTGCAGAAAAAAAAATCTTTTTCCTCCCTTTACCTGTTTGTGTGTTTTTGGATTATTTAGAGGGGCAGACGTTTTTATTTTCATGTTACAAATGGTGTGTTCTTTGCCTTCCCTGAATAGGTTTTGTTTTATAATCAGTGTATAATTTTGAGTTTATTCGAGAAATCTGTGTTTTTTTTTTGGTCTTTCGATTTCAAGTCTAATATAGAAAACACATATGCTTGGCCATGTCTGGAACTGGGTAAAATAGATCTTCCTCAATTGACGAGTCCCCTGACTAATTCATCTCCCCTCTTCTGTGTTCTTATCCCACCATTAATTTTGGTGGTGTAAAACTCAGCAACCAGTCTCTATTCTGAAGGCTTTGTCTAATGAGTAATGGATTGCTCCTGCCGTTTGGTCCAGGCAATAGAAATGCTGTGACCTTCAGCACGATAGGTGTAGCACTTCCTCCAAAGCTGTGTGGACACTGCTGGAGGTAGCAGATGTCATGTAAAAATGTCTCTGGCACAGCCTTCCATCACCTGCAAGTAGCTACAACACATTTGGTACACTGCTTGACAGCACTGAAGACTTGAGTCCCCTCTTTTTGTTCTCTGCTTCTTTGTCCACAGCTGCAGGCCCTGAGTTTTGTGACTCTGGTTCTGTTGGTGTCCTTCATTCCTTCTGTTCCTCCTCAGCATTCTTTCATCGGAACCTTAACCCAACAGCCATGTTAGCTTCACTAAATTGCTCAGACTTGTAGAATGGAAGTACTGATCTGTGAAAAAAAATCTCAGGAATGAGATGTATTTTTTCCATTTGATACCTTGACATAGTTTTTTAATTCACCTGTAGTATGTGGGTATCACTTCTATACTCTCCGTTGAAGCAGAGTTGATCCTCTGGCTTGATAGTTGACTGGGGGATATGCCAGGCAATGGGTTGCAGATTGTGCTGGAGTTCAATTCTGCTGCTGTTGATGACCCACAGTGCTTATGGATGCCCAGTCATGGGTTGCTAGATCTATTTGAAGTCTGCTCCATTTAGCATGATTATAGTGCCACACAACAAAATGGAGGCGTGAATGTGAAGGCGTGACTTTGTCTCCACAAGGACTGTGCGATGGTCACTCTTACCGATACTGTCATGGATAGATGCATCTGCAGCCGGCAGATTGGTAAGGATGACGTTGTGTGTTGTTCCCTCTTTTTGGTCCTGCTGCAGACCCAGTGTAGCAATAATGTCCTTTAGGACCCCACCAGTTGATCAGTAGTACTGCTGAGCCAGTCTTGGTGGTGGACTTTAAAATCCCCTACTCAGAGTACATTTTGTGCCGTTCCCACCTTCAGTGCCTCTTTCAGTATTGTTCAACATGGAGGAGTACTGATTCATCAGCTGATGGAGGATTCTACATGTAATCAGCAGGATGTTTCCTTGCCCACATTTGACCTAAAGTCATGAGACTTCATTGGGTGTGGAGTCAATGTTGAGGACTCCGAGGGCAACTCCCTCCTGACTGTTTACACTGAGCCACAACCTCGGCTGGGTCTTTCCTGCCAGTAGGACAGGACATTTCCAAGGATGGTGGTTTATAGGACATAGCCCAACTCATGGAATCATACCTTACAGACAGTGTTAGACTATTGCTTGATGAGTATGTACGACAGCTCTCTCAATCTTGACACGAGCCCCAAAATGTTAGTAAGGAGGTCCTTCAGGGTCAATAGGGCTGTTTCTGCCATTATTATTTCTGGTGCCTCGGTCGCTACCAGGTCGTCCGTCTGGCTTCGGTAATTTACCCTTTTGGGCCTTTAGCAGGCTGCTTTTGTTGGGTGAAACCGTGCCCTAGTGCCACCTCTGTATGGTGGGGCATGTCCTCCATTATTGGCCCTTTCATATTTCCATCGATATTCCTCCTGTTTCCCCTATCCCACTCTTACCTAGATCCCCATTTTCGGCCTCATTCTTACATAAAACTGTAAAAACGGTCCGGCAATTATCATGGGGGATTTTAACCTACATGTAGATTGGTCGAACCAGCTTGGTCAGCGTAGCCTTGAGGAGGAGTTCGTTGAGTGTATCTGTGATAGTTTTCTTGAACAGTATGTAATGGAACCAACGAGGGAGCAAGCTATCCTAGATCTGGTCCTGTGTAATGAGACAGGAATAATTAATGACCTCATAGTTAGGGATCCTCTTGGAAGGAGTGATCACAGTATGGTTGAATTTAGAATACAGATGGAGAGTGTGAAGATAAAATCCAGTACCAGGGTCCTGTGCTTGAACAAGGGGAACTACAATAGAATGAGGGAGGACTTGGCTAAAGTAGACTGGAAACTAGATTTTATGGTGGGACAGTTGACGAGCAGTGGAGGACTTTCAAAGCAATTTTTCAAAGTGCTGAGCAAAAGTATATTCCAATGAAAAGGAAGGACTGTAAGAAAAGGGGTAATCTGCCATGGGTGTCTAAAGAAATAAGGGAGGCTATCAAATTGAAAGAGAAGGCATACAAAGTGGCCAAAAACAGCATGAAAC